TTTTTTTTTTTTGCACGGCAGCATGCAGAAGGGTCTGACACAGCCTCTGATGAATGATTTTCACCCTTATGTGTTATTAATAGTTCATGAAAATGATCTATGTGAAGTCACTGATTCCTCACTATAATGATCAACAATTATTGAGCAATGTAGGAAACCGATGGAATACTTTATTTCAATACATCTGCCAGTGTTTACATTTTCAAATGATCACTTCTACAATATTCCGATGAAATCACAATCACCGGCGACGCCCTCGCGTTTCACACGTTCGCTTTTTGTGTCGCTAATGGACGTTTGATTTGCAAATGAATCTGTTGTCGAGTAAATCGATATGGAGTGAAGGTTACGAGTGCTGATGACAGCCGTCTTCATACATCGTGCTTTTCACGACAATTAGTTCCATTCAAAACTGGACAAACAAGATGCCTGGCAGTCAATGGGAAGGGAGCTGGAGGGAATTGCACACCCGGAACACAACCACAATCTTATTGCGGATAATCGGTTGGAAAAAAAGGTGAAGGGATAGACAGTCGCGCCACCCTTGTGAGGATAAGCGGATCAAAAAATGGATGGATGGATATGCAGTCTTAAGATTTAACCAGCATTCACTCAAAACACATGGGCAACATTTTTTTTTTGACATTTTGAAAGTGTGCTGAAGCGATGCTAATTGTTTGTGTTTGTGTGTTGATATCAGAGACCGACGTCTCTCAGCACTTTGATGCCAGTTCCCCGCACCTGCCCTGGGACCATCCCTTCTATGACATCGCCCGGCATCAAATCATCGAAGTCGCCGGTCAGTTGAGGCCCATCTGCTCGCTTGAATCGGCTGCCGGCCAACCTTTCATCCTCTCGGCGTTGCCCACTGTTGTGTATTTCTTTTTTCCCTCCTCTCGTCGCCTTGTAGGCGACGACAACTTTGGCAGAAAAGTGATCGTCTTTAACGCCTGCAGGATGCCGCCCCAGCACCAACTGGACCATCACAAGCTGTTGATGTGAGTCAGTCCCAGCTCGGAGTTTTTTCTGCTCGCACTGCAAAAGCAGTTTTTGAGTATTAAAAGAAGTATTTTGAATTTTTGAAATGCCGTGCTTTAGATCCTGATCTGCTTTTGTCCATTTAGGTACCTGAAAGGAACATTGGACCAGTACGTCGAAAGCGACTACACCCTGATCTACTTCCACCACGGGCTGACCAGCGAGAACAAGCCGTCGCTCAGCTGGCTGCGGGACGCTTACAGGGAATTTGACAGGAAGTGAGTTTGCATGCGGCGCCGACGGTATCCCGATTTTGTCCGGCGACTTGTACTCAGTGGGAGTTGTTGTTTTTGTATGCCAGGTATAAGAAGAATATCAAAGCCTTGTATATTGTCCATCCCACTATGTTCATCAAGACCCTGCTGATCCTCTTCAAACCCATCATCAGGTACGTTGTTGTGCCACACACCAAAAAGATATGCCTTGTGTGGAATTATTATTATTTGTCTTTTTTTTTTTGGGTGGCGTCGGGGGCTAGTTTCAAATTTGGAAGGAAACTCAACTACGTGAGCTATCTGAGTGAGCTGGAGGACGTGGTCAAGTGCGAGCAGCTCGTCATTCCAGCCCGTGTCAAAGAGTAAGAATTTGTCATTCATTTGTGGCCTGGAATAAATCGCATCCCTGATGGGAGTTGCTTGTTTACCCAACAACCCGCCAATCGCGTCTTTGTGTGCGCGCACGTGCGCAGATACGACAACAAGCTGAGAGCCTCCCTGAAGCCGACCTCCCTGCCTCCCGTGTCCCCTCCTCGCAGTCCTCCTCTGCCCAACCAGGTCTTTGGGGTGCCCCTTGAATTGCAAGTAACCTCTTTTGACACTTGCCAGTGTCAAAGACATTACAGTTAATCGGAGTGTGTGTGTGTGTCTGTGTCTGTGTCTGTGTCTGTGTGTGTGTGCGCGTGCGTGTGTTTCTGTCTGGCAGGTTGAGGAAGAGAAGTCCAGATGGAGATCCTGTTCCTGTGGTCATGAGAAACACTATAAGCTTCCTGTCAGAGCAAGGTGACTTCACGGCGGCCCGATACGAAATGGCAGCTTGAAACGGTTTTGTTTTGGTCTAAATTTTGTTTTTGTTTTTTTTTTTGGTCAGGTCTGGAGATCGAGGGAATCTTCCGACGTTCCGCCAATGTGACTTTGGTGAAGGAGATTCAACTCCGATATAACTCAGGTCGCAAGCGTTCCAATTTTTGCATCCAGTTTATTTTAGTTTACAACTCGAAACACTCATAAATGATGTGTTTCCCATGCGGTTGCCTCAAGACCTGCTAAGTGGCGTGACGTTTATGAGACATTGCATTTTAAAACCGTGACACGATGACTAAGCTAGCCCACACTGTCCGTGCAAACGGGTGTTAGTTTCACACCCAAATTCCATTTTGCAAATGCCTTTCAAAAAACGGATATTGCGGCATCCCGGATGAGATCTTAAAGCTACGGGAGCTGCCCTTCAGCTTCCATTTTCAACCCGCCTTAAAATCGGATGCGCCTTGTGTATGGTTATTACGGTAATGTGTCGACCCCAAAATGGCTCCTTGCTCCAGACATGCTTACAACGCAGAGTTCAAATTTAAGGCGATCGGGTTACGGAGTTGAACACGGAAATCGAGCAGCGGCAAGAGAGTTCAACGTTAACGGGTCAATGTTATAACTTGCTGTTGATTAAGTGAACGGTGTCGCTGCTTTATTCAATAGGTTTTACTGACATCTGATCGTTCAGTTGGCGTTTCCTTGAGCGTAGCTCCATCTAGTGGATGCATTGTAGATTGCGTCTTATAATGCGGTGCGTCCAATATTTGAAAAAAAATGACAAAATAGGCCATTCATTGAAGGTGCGCCTCCTAATCCAGTGCGAATTTTAGCGTGGAAAATACGGTACTCAACGGCACGCATCGAGAACGCCCACAGGAGGGGTGCCATGAAAACAAAACACAATACGAGTCCTTCCAGCTTCCCTCGTGTGTTTGCCGTTGCTGCAGGCGAAGCGGTGAACTTCCGAGAGATGGAAGACGTCCATTTGGCGGCCGTGATCTTGAAGAAGTTCCTGAGGGAGCTGCCCGAGCCGCTGCTGACCTACCAGCTCTACAACGACATTGTCAATTTTGCCTGTGGGTTTTGCCACGCGTCATTCAAAATGTCGCCCGCTGTGCCCCGTGTGAGTCCTCGCTCACTGCGGCCTTTGTTTATGTCAAGCTGTGCCCAGCGACAGTCAGGTGACTGTCATGAAGACGTTGGTGGAGTCGCTGCCGGAGGAGAACTACGCCGCGCTCAGATACCTAATCACGTTTCTGGCACAGGTACGGTCGAACCGATAATCGGCGTTCTCTGCAATGTCACCTTTGTTTGACCTTCAACTTTGTTTGAATTTCAACTACACAACGGTGTAATATAGGTTCTGCAGTGATTAAATATTCTTGCTATTCGGATATCCTACTGAAAATCCGAATCTTTTCGAGACATATCGGTAATTCGGAGCGTCCCGGCGATTGAGAGTCGGTGCCAAACTTGGCCTCATTCTCCTGCCGTGGGAACAAATTTTTTGTTCCTGACTAGCTATCGGTGGGCTAAACTGTGAAGTTAACATAGCTTACCTGTCTGTGAGATTTACAGAGGTGAATAAAATTAGGTATTTGTTGTGTGTCTTACCTCGGAGTTTCAATAAAAATAATAATCTTCCGTCATGATCCAGTAGTTGCTAAACGCCGTGCTGCTGCTGCTTGTGCGCCGGAACAGGTAACGGCCAACAGTGACGTGAATAAGATGACTAACAGCAACCTGGCTGTTGTGTTTGGGCCCAACCTGCTCTGGGGGCGGGACAACGCCATGTCACTCAGCGCCATCGGACCAATTAACAACTTCACCCAATGCCTGTTGGACCAGCAGCATTTGGTCTTCGCCTAAAGGTGGTCGCCTGTTGTCTGATGTTGCCTCTAGAGGCTGAGTGAGCCATCGAATAGCACTTGGACCGACGCAGCCTTGTTCTAAAATGCACGTTTAAAAAAAAAAACATCCCCAGGATGACTTTTAATTGTGTCTTTTGTCACCTGGGATTCTAATTGGGCCCCGCAGCAGCGTGGCGAGTGCGCAACATCAAGTTGAAACGTGTATCCTGAGACCTTCGCGAGAGAACAACCGTGCAAATGCAAACTTTTAACACCTTCGCAACAAAATAGATTTCCTTGGAAAACAAAAAACAAAAAAAGGCATTCCAGCTACCAACCGCATGCGTACAATTATTGTCAAGTGGAATTGAAATCAGAAAATGTGTTTACTATTCAACGTGTTGCTGTCGTTGATCGCCGCTGTTTCTGTCATGAGAAAAGAAAAAAAAAAGCCCCTTGAAGAAGTCAGCGGTTTGTGTGATATCCCTCAGGTTCATTTGAAGTAATGGTACCAAATGTTGTGGACAATCTTGCTGTATTAAAAAAAAAAAAAAGCTAAAGAAGATTCGCTGTTGTATTAACCCCCCAAACGTCTGTTGTGCTTTCGGCCGTCATGCACGTGCTTGCTCTCCCTCTCTCCGAACCGTGTGATTTAATCGGGTCCTGTGGTTGACGTGCGTGGGTTCCGTTAGTGACTGCGCTGGACTTTTCTTTTGCTGAGTGTGTGCCATGAATCAAGTGAGTCCATTTATGACGCTGTCTTTGCTCCTCAGGGATCAAAAAAAAAGCCTGGGGTAAAAATAAATAAATAAAAATAAAAAAGTCCAAATAGATGAAGTTGCAGAATTTCCTTTTAAACACACCCCCTCCTCTTGAAACTTAATGATCACCTTAAAATGAATATTCTAATATCTTGTTCGACACTAACATGGACCGTATGATTCTGAGACGCGCTTGAGTTTCATCTGTTTCATTTTACCCATGGCGTAAGTATAATTGTTGCCATGCTGTTATCTAATAAGAGAGTGCTACTGTGTTAGCCGTACGCTATATACATTCATATATATGGTTTGCGTGTGTCTTAATGCATTTTGAAATCAAAAATTATGCCGGGGGGGGGCCGACGTAATGGTTTTCACCAACAGGGTTCCTGTGAGTGGATGTTCGAGCCTCAAAACAAGTGCCATTGACGTTTCACACTTGCTGACCAATCGCATGTTGCGTGTGATCTTGTGATCTTTGTACTGTAATTCGTTCTCCTGGTGACAGTGGTTTCTTTTCTCTCCGGGAGGAATGATTTTGGTTTTCCAGGCTCGTGTGTTTGAGATGATTTTGCTCCATTTTGGTTTTCATCTTTTTTTTTTTTTTTTTGATATTTAGTTCTGGATGTGTATGATGATGTCATATTGTGGCAGAATAATAAAGAAACCTGAAGTCATGAGACGTTTTGCTATTTTTGTTGGTATTTAAGTTTTGTTTTTGTTTGTTTTTTTGTTTGTTTGTTTTTTTATTAGTGTCAACAATGGTGCATTCAAGTGCACGCAGAAGTGGAGAACAATTTCGGATATATTGCGGTGAAGTGAATCCCAGAGAATCTCTTGCATGCAACTTGCATCAGAAAAGATACGTTGCAAATGCAAATAAAAAAAAACTATGACAGTCGAACCTCGTTTCAACGTACCCCGTTTTTATTTCCACCTCTATAATGTTCACATTTTGCCAACAGCAAACACCTTTACAACGTCAACGTTATTACGACGACCATATTTTCCCCACAAGATAGTGAAAAGGCCTTCGCACTGGAGTCTCCGCCCGCCCTCGTGGCTTCTCCGTACGGCAGTTTATATAATCCATGCTTGTGGGTACTGTTATATGATCTGTCTGCATGTGTTGCAACACCGTTTGTGTTCCTATATCCATTACAAATGGAGCATGAACACCACATAGATGCTAGTCGTTAGCCGGCGTGCCTATGGAGTTCCCCATTCTTTGGGGCACTCGGGTAGCTTGGTAGCGGATGTGGTTGCGCTAGTTGTAAACAGTCTGTCAGTTTGACGGTAGCCTTCAGCTGAGAGTGTTTTGAAACACGCTTCAAAAGAAAATTCACCAATTCTCTCTGCCAACTCGACACTTCTTGCGATGTCAGATGAGTCACCTTGAATCTCGAGTTTCAGTGTTTTCTCAAATATCGGCTTGCCGCTATTTCCCATGACTTCTGATTTCAATTTGAATTTGTTGTTTATCGGATAACCCTGAACTGCAGGTGAAAATTGTTTATGCGCTATTATGATGGAGGGCGGCCCGGTGGGCCAGTGGTTAGCGCGTCGACCTCGCAGTGCAGAGCTACCGGGTTCAATTCCAGCTCCCGCCTCCCTGTGTGGAGTTTGCGTGTTATCCGCGTGGGTTTTCTGCGGGTAGTCTGTCACCGTGTTTAAGTCAGCAGACTCCTCGGCCAATGTTTCCCAACCTTTCATGAGCCAATGCACATATTTCACATTTGAAAGTCATCTTCGGCCTTCCTGTGTGGAGTTTGCATGCTCTCCCTGTGCCTGCGTGGGTTTTCTCCGGGTACTCCGGTTTCCTCCCACGTTCCAAAAACATGGTAGGTTAATGGAAGTCTCCAAATTGTCCCAAGGTGTGAGTATGAGCGCGGATGGTTGTTCGTCTCTGTATGCCCTGCGATTGGCTGGCAAACGGTTCAGGGTGTACCCCGCCTACTGCCCGAAGACAGCTGGGATAGACTCCAGCACACCCGCGACCATCATGAGGACAAGCGGATCGGAAGATGGATGGGTATTATGATGGATGAGGCGTTTGTATTGTCATCGCGTCCCTGTGAAGGGAAACCGCAACTATGATGTAGCCGGCGACCAAAAATGACTTTGGCGCCCTTGGACGATGTCACATCAGTACGGCCAAAAATGGCCACCAACAAACGGAACGGCGAGCAGAATTCCACAAGGCCTGAGGGTTCGTTTGTCCGGAAAAAAACCAAAACTTAATCGCCGACTTACTTTACCCATCCGACCTAGAAAAGGGTGACTGCTAAAAATGTACGGCTCGTGGGCCAGGCCAGAAAAGCCCCGAGTGCTTCCCCACGAGCCGTTCCGACTCGGCTCCTTTCGCAGGAGTCTCGATTACGTCCATGTTGGCCCCGTTTTTTGCCGTCCCAGTTGGAGGAGTAGAGATTTGCTGATGCCCTGAGAACGGAACGAGGGGGCATCTCGTTTGGCGGCACGGAGGAGCCCGAGGGGGTCGGTGAAGTCGGGCGGCGTGATGGGGAAGGGCGGCGGCACGAGTTCCTCCGCAGGTTTCTCCTTTGCCGGAATGGGCGGCAAGAGCGCCGGCTCGAGGTCGGCCCTGACGGTCTTTTTGCGCGGCGGCTTGGCGTCGGGAGCCGGGACGTTTTGCTCCTTGGCCTTCTTGGTGGTTTTGGCCTTGTCGGCGTTGAGCCGCGGCAGAAGGACGCACGCGCCGTCGCCGGCTTGCAGCACGTCTTCCCAGATCTCGTCGTCGAAGGTTTTGGCTTTTTTCTCGGCGGCTTGGGCCTTCTTGCCGGCCGCCTTGGGGCGAACGGCCATTTTGTAGCGGATCATGACGCGTTTGGGACGGACGTCTTTTTGGTTCATCTTGCTTTTCTGTTCGGACCTCAGCTCGGACCTGCGTAACCTTTTGTCCTCCCTTTCCCTCTGAATCCGCTGTTCCTCTTCCTGCACTCTCTTGCGATAGAAGTTGGTTTGCATTTTCTTCAGGAGCTCCTTCGGGATGGAGTCGATTTTGGACATGAGCTTGAACACCTGCTCCTCCACGTGCTTCATTTTCTTTAACGGGTTCAAGAAATGGCTGGAAGATGAACAAGAGCGATACACTTTGGTCACCTTGGCGGTCAGCGAGTCCAACTCCTTCTCCAGCTCGGCGTTGCGATTCTCCTTGTAGAGCTTCACCATCTGAGAGATTTTTAACGACGTATTTATCTCCTCCTCAATTTTGGCCCTCACGCTGCTGATCTCCGTGCGCAGGTTCTCCAGGTTCTGCTCGTTCTTCTTCCTGGTGTTTTCAAATTTTTGCTGCTGCCCGAGGAGCGCGTAGTTGTTCTTCACGGCGTAAGGGAGCAAAAACTGGTTTTGTTCCCTCAGGTTTTCCATCCGTTCCAGCACCTGTTCGTGATCCGGTAGAACGAGATGATTGTTTTGCTCGTCCGAGGCAGCCAGTTTGAAAATGCTGCGTTTGTAGCGCTGGTATTTGCTCAGCGTGTCCTCGATCTCGGGGATTTCCTTTTTCATTTCCCAGATTTGCTCTTTGATTTTGTTGATTTCCGCATTTTTGATGAGTTTGTACCTGTTCATTTTTTCAAAACGGACTCCCTCCTCGGCCAATTTCTTGTCCGCCATCTCCCGGAAGTTTTCATTGATGAGTTTCTGTCTCTCAAGGACCAGCTCGAGACCTTTCACCCTTTGCTCCTGGGCTGCGATGGCCTCCATCAGCCGCAAATTATCCGCCCGCTTGACCGCCATGGCTTCGTCGCGTTGGACCTTCTTTTGTTCAAGGTACCGATCAAAGTTTTCCGGTTCCCCCATCTTTGAATTAAAATTTTGTTTTGGTTTGCAAGTCGTCTTGCTGATGTGGTATTTGGTTTTTTGCGCCATTTTGCCAATTTTATCTCGGTTATCAGAGACGTGTTTCATCCTCCAATCTTGAAATAGGGGTGTGTTGTGAGCAAACCAAAATAAAAAAAGGTGTTTTTGAAGCACCTTTGAAAGAAAGCAGCCGTGTGACATCACGGACCACAACGGTCCAATCCTGACAGTTGCCAATGACTCATCCATTTTTTTTTGAAAAGGTGACATCATGCAAGTACTCGATGATGAAGGCCTTCATGATGACGTCGGGAAAAATCGTGTTCTCATCTGAAGATGATAAGCGTGATGGTATCTGTACATTTTTTCCCTCCACATTTAGTTATGTGCACACCTGAATCTTGTGATTATTGCGCTGAATTTAATTGCGTCTTCCTTGTCAACACTACATTATTTTGTTTTTTATAAAATTGGTAACTCTGAGTGGGAAGTAATTAAGTATCTGTATTTTTAGTGTAATGTATATATATATATATATATATCCCTATAGGACAATACTCAAAATACATATACCTTGTTAGTTGCCACTAGTAATTACCAATTTTATGAAAACAAAATAGTGTAGTATTGCCAAGCAAGAAGCAATTAAATGTAGCTGAATAATCACAAGATTTAGGTGTGCACGTAGCTAAATGTGGGGGGAAAAAAACTGCCGTTGATGAGATCTTTGGTCTTCTAAGGTAAACGCTGAAAACAGTTGTGCCAAAAAGAGAACCCAAGTCATGCACCAGTCCCTTTTTGACCCTAATGGTGTTATTTTTATATGCAGTTGTTTTTGGAGGAATAACAGGTACAGGGTAAGGTTCAGATCTTCAATTCTATTAAACTACTTTAACATTTTCTATTTACTCGTTTCACAAGGTTGTTTCAATAGCATAAAAAGTCCAAAATCCTGTATTATCCCAGGTATTATATTCAATCGATATTTTATCTTCGATACTCATGAAGACGAGCGTGGCTGTCATCCTCGATGACAAATCCCAAGCATCCTGACTTTTAAGGCCACAAAAGAACCTTTCCCCTCCCTATTTGTCCAACCAGCTCCATATTGCCACATCTTCTTCCTCCCTCCATCTCAAGAGTCTACTTGTAGAGCACTTTCAAACAGCCATTGCTGCATACAAAGTGCTGCCCATGGAGCAAATAACATATATCCAACAATAAAGGCCTCAATCCATTACAAATGCATTCATTTAGAGACAAGGCTCCTTTTTTTCACCTATCTTTGCCAGTGACATATAGTGACAGGCAGAAAAATTAAATGTTCTTCTACAAAATGGCATTGGGTACATGATTGACATTTTTGTTTGGTGGTATGCCAAGATGACTTCCATCCATCCATCCATCCATTCTCTGATCCGTTTAATCCTCACAAGGAGGGGGCTGGAGCCTATCCCAGCCGTCTTCGGGCAGTAGGCGGGGGACACCCTGAACCGCTTGCCAGCCAATCGCAGGGCACATGTAGACAAAACAACCTCACAATCCCTACTAAGGGACAATTTCGAGTGTCCAATCAGCCTGCCATGCATGTTTTTGCAATGTGGGAGGAAACCGGAGTACCCGGAGAAAACCCACGCAGGCACGGGGGGAACATGCAAACTCCACACAGGAAGTTACAAAGATGACTTTCAAATGTAAAATATGTGCCTTGGCTCATGAAAGGTTGGGAAACATTGGCCGAGGAGTCTGCTGACTTAAACACGGTGACAGACTGCTTCCTTTATGATGCCAACAATTACTTTATGATGCAACAAAGGCATTCATTATTTTTGTGCTGGCAATGACATTTTTTTTCTTTTATGGAGGGGAAAAAAGCAACATGGCAGACGCATACGCTTCTGGCCAGCACTATAATGTCATGTCCTACATTGACAAGCTTGTGACCGATGTCACCAAAGACCTCAACGCCAACAAAGTTCGTCTCCTGTCATGCCACCCGAAGGAAAGAGCGCACATCAAATGTAAAATCAAGAGCCAGTTTGCCGTCCTGGAATACCTTCAGGGGAACCGAACGAAAAACAGCAAAATTCAGCTGTGGATCGAGATTCACACGCTGAAAACGAAGATAAAGATATCCGAAAACCAAGAGAGGCAAAACGCCGACAAGCTTTGTGCCAACTGGAAGGTCATCGACGACCTGAGGATGCAGCTTCGTCAAAGTCAGCGAAAGGAGAGAGAAAACGCCGCGGCCGCCGAGAGGGTCATTCGCGAGCTGGGTTGCCAGCTGAGGGAGCAACTCGAGATGGTGCAGATGATGAAGGAGCAGTTCCTCCGGCACGTCCCCGGCATTCCTTCCATCCGGCCCGACGAAGAGCACATGATTGCGTCCGACATGGAGGAGAAGCTCCAAGCTGTGAAAGTGGCTTTACTTAGGATGCGGGACGCACACAAGGCCAAAAAGAGTGGCACTCGGGCCGCGGACAGAGACTCGACCAGCGCACCGAGCCTCTCCGAACCAGACAGACACCAGAAAACTGAGACTTCTGTTTCACAGGGCTGCCCCAAGGGCTCCAGTTCAGCACGAGAGACCAGCAAGAAGAACTGGTGCCAGCGACTCTGCCCTTGTTATTTCTCGACTTGGGGCTTGTAAATATCTTGTAGCTTGTGTAAGAACTTATTTAACAGATCCGGGACTAGCGCAGGGGTCAGCAACGTGGGGACAACCTCGCCCCCAAGAACTACATGAGTAGCCCACTGACTTGTTCTAAAAATCACTCACTATTGATGGGACATTGTGAAATACTCATTTGAAAATGTGAACAATGGCAGGCATGAATAGAAATCAAGTGTCGCTTATTGATATTCATCTCATTCCTACTTGTAGCCCTTCACATTAAACCCAAGAAGTAACTCTGAGCTTGAAAAAGGTCGGAGACTGGAGACTTTGCAAAACATTGTAAATATAAACCTGATTGGACGGGGGTAAAGTTTTATTTCAAAAATTTTCTTTTTTTGGTTTCAGATAAAAAAGGGAATAAGAAGTTTGGAGCCACGGAACTGTGCAATGACCTACCTCCAACTTGTTGATTCATTTATTGTGAATAATAAAATTAAAAAATGAGTTTCTGTTTACTATCGTGATATATACGTATATTTAAAATTTTTAAAAAACTGGAAAAAAATTCTGTATATTTTTTTACCCTGAAAATACGAAAATACGTTACTTGGCTCACGCGTTTAAAAATAAAACTGTAATAAGACTAATAAACGCATGGGGGCGGAAACTAACCAAACCAGGCCTTGTCTGCCGCAAAATGAGAAGAAGAAGTGCGCTTGTTTGCGGAAGTGTCGGTACAAACGCGAAACTAATACGATTGTTTTTGTTGTTGTTGTTGTTTTTTATTTGCTAATCTCGAATGAGTCCTTAAAAATGGATCATTTATCACCCACTGCGGCGATGGCAGGAGGAAGCTCCATGAAACATCGTAATGGCGTGAAACCGTGGACCGTAGTGGCCATGTCTGGAGTTGTTTCTGCTGTAGTTGTAGTTGCTATCGGCGCTTTTTGCGCACTTCTGGACCCCATACTGCAAGGTAAACGCGACTATTTGTGTTGGCTCGTACGTTCAAATAGAACGAAAGATAAAATACGTGCGTGCGTGAGTGAGTGAGTGAGTGAGTGAGTGAGTGAGTGAGTGAGTGAGTATGTGAGCGAGTAAAACTTGTGTCTTACGTAATGTGTATTATTTTTCAGAGTTGCGGGCGGGCAGAGTGAAGAAAGAGGATGGGGCAGAAGTGAGGATGTTGGGTGAGTATTTAGTGGAAATGTTTTGACTTTGTCACTAGCCGGCTACGAGCTTTGAAGTCAATGTCAGTCAAAAAGAGGTTTGCCATCAGGAATTGGTGGGGAAAAATAAAACTATGGGATTACGACCTCCCTTGTTCACACGAACTCCTTGTGTTTTTGCGTGTAGGTTTCTGGAGTGTCCTGGTTCTCTCTGTGTTGGCTGGACTCAGCTGCTGTGTCTTCTCATGGACTCTGACTTACCTCAACTCTTACAAACCAGGCCTGCGGCCACCAACACTGCTAGCACTGTGCAGGTATTGAAAAATACTTTTATTTCAAACAAATCTCAATATCCAGACATGAGGGATTTTGTTGTTTCAGTTTCAGAGACAAACACAACAGAGATTTCCTCTTGGATTACGGTGTTGCTCTCCTCAATGGCGCCATGGCAACGCTTACTGCCATCTGGAGCCTGACCTGACTTGATCCGATGTTTTTGTCCATCAGTGAGCGATGCCCGTTATACAGTTTTCAGCAATGAACTATTCACTTTGAAAATATTGGAGAATTTTTCTTTTTCATCCATGTCAAAATTTGAATACAAAGTCTAAACAAAGATGATTTGGCATTGGTACCATACGTCATTCCAGCATCAAGTAACTTTTTTCCTGTCGTAGGCCGCAGAAGACATTCAAAACCTCTCCACACATTTTGAAATATGCATTTTAATAATAGAAACAACAAACAAATACAAAGGCAGTGTTGAGGTGGAATTAAATGACATTTAATTGTCATCCAAGTAAGAAAATAATGTTAACCTCTACAGAATTCAGTGTTCGAAAGCTCATAATAGTGATACATGGAGACAGACATACAATCTCTCAACCACTCCGAACCATACACTCATCGCACCTCTTTGTTTGGTTTACAATTCACTAACAAATCAAGAGTTTATAACACCCTCACCAAATACACAACAGTACATTCTTCATCATCTTTTGCTGTGCCTTGTGATTTCAGGCGCACACATATACATTAACTGTATTTTTTTTTAAAAGGGAACAAGAGAAAGTACACGTAAAATATAATATTGCTTTCAAGTCAAAGGCCCCCGATTGATACAAACAAAATCAGACAAGACCTAAGTATACAGCATGTCTTTCTGTGTCAGTGCAGTCAGTTTAATACTAATGATTCTGTTCCGTGAGTGGCAGAAGTGCTTTGTTGGATGTAAACAAGCAAAAAAAGACAATATGCTAGTTTGCTGACACTTTGGGGTCCTCCCCTCCTCCCGTCAAGACTGTATTAAGTGCCGTCTGTGTCTGCCGGACTACTGGACGGGACCTCTTGGTCAGAGCGCCGCCTGGTGGCCACTTTGCAAAGCCCGGCGAAGAAGAACACAGCGGAGATGACGGCAAAGTAGCCACCGTAGACGTAGAACTGATGTAGGAAGAAAATACGTCAACCACATTGTAAGCATATCATGAAGAAAAGTGTGCAAGGAACTCACTTAAGTGCGAATGGGAGAATATGCCCCTATGTTACTGCCAAAGTCAGGATTTTATTGCTTTGGCACACAAACTAGCAAATGGATTGGATTTTATGTGAGTAACAGGAAGTAAATCAGTCCATAGGTGAATTTGCAAATGGCGAACTGCAAGCACGCAGGGGCCTCAGTGTACTTTGCAGCACAGTTGTACACCGCTGCAAACGACAAGCACGAGGACTTTTCACAATAGCCTTGGAACTCGCGACACCGTTCATGTGGACGTAAAGCCGTGTGAGTGCGAATCACAAAGTTTCATTTCACCTGGGAGAAGACACCCAAGCCCAGGCCGGCCGCGTCGACCACCACCAGAGTGAGCAGAGACTGCAGCAGCAGAGCCACAAAGGTGTTGACGCCAAACACCAACGCATAGCGCTGCATGTCAAGACTGGAGGCTATTTCATATCTGGGAGAGGAAAGAAAGAAAAGGCGTCATGGTGCAAGTGGTAAATACTCCTTCGGTTCTGGAGCCTATCCCAGCCGTTTTCGGGCAGTAGGCGGGGGACACCCTGAACCGGTTGCCAGCCAATCACAGGGCACACAGAGACGAACAAACATCCGCGCTCACACTCACACCTCGGGACAATTTTGAGTGTTCAATTAGCCTGCCATGCTACCCGGAGAAAAGCAGGCCCAGGGAGAACATGCAAACTCCACACAGGTAGGCCGGAGCTGGAATCGAACCCGGTTGCCTCTGCACTGTGAGCTCGACGCACTAACCACTGGACCACCAGGCCGCCCAATAGTGAAAAAATGTGCACCTACCGTAATTTAGAATTCCCATGAGATGCTACAAGATGCAATGCTTGGGCCATCACTCGGATATATTTTCAGACGTTGATGTGAGCAGAAGTAGAGATGTCAACATCCAATTTTGGTGACTTTGAAGCTATGCGGTTGTTTGAAATAAATAATGCCTAATTTTCTTTAGTTTGACAGGAAGGTTCAACTAGGAGTGGCATTAAACAGCTGAAAGCATTTTTTGAAGAATTACTCATCTTTGCCAAACTGCTTCTTATTGTTGACTAAGTTGAGCTGAGTTCACGACCACCATTGGGGAAAAGTATCTCAACATTTTGTTTCCCCGGCAAACAATATACACCACTTGACTGTGTGTGAGAAGTGCCCCTCTTGGTACTTACGTGGCAACTGTGATGAGCAGCATGTAGGTCGCTCTGAAAAGAACATACGAGCCGTAACACAGCCAGATGCTCCTCAGCGCTACCATGACAAACACGCACGCCGCCATGAGCATCGAAAGGGCGCACAAGGTCAGCTCTCCCCACACGGTCCAGCGCACAGGCAGGTGGCCCACCAGGAGGGCGGCCAGAGACCCTAAAGACACGCCCCCAAAAGCAGTCGGCTTCGAGGGGACCGTTTCCAGCGTTTGCGTTCACGGGATCAAAAGAAGCTCACGTTACCGAGCAGTGTGGACAACGTCTCCACGTAGCCGTTGTAAATGTCGTATTCGCCGGAGGGGCGGATTTTCTCCCACAGCGCTTGAGCATAGTTGAGCACCTGAAAGTGACCGCACGTCGCCAGCGCCCACCACAGTGACCACGCGAGCAAGGGACCTCGTCTGTAACAGTGCAGGAAGTCGGCCAAAAGCATCTTCAGGACCTCCGATAAACCACAGCTTCTATTTGTCTCCTCGGACGACAGGGACACCTAATTGACACGACAGACAAATTGTTGCTGAAGTATCTTTTTGGCACAAAAATGCAGTAGAGTGAAACTCCCGATGAGGTGAAAATCTAGAATATAGAAAGACCATATGTAAAAAAAATACTAAATACTAACTTGCAAGCACTTGAACCCATCCCACACATGTGAAACTTGGGTACACCAATATAATTTTTTTTTTAGGCAGACGTCAATTCCGATATTTGACTCAGAAAAAAAAATAACAGATTCATCAGCCGATGATGTAAAAATTTGAAATAATGGGGGGGGGGAAGTTATTTTTTGATCCCTTAACACAACAGCAACTCCATTATTATATCTATGCTCCATTATTTTCTTTTCCATGAAGTGAAAAAAAATAGAAGATGCCTTTCAAACGTCAAAACATCGTTTTTTTGACAGAGTTGCATTTGAAATGGATGATGCACAGGCAGAACGTGCACTGAAATACGAATACAGTACTGAACGTAAACCTTATCGGTCGGAGTGAAGCGATACATCGACTTCATGATTGACGTCAAGCAACCAACATTATGGTGGCACGGAAGAGTTGATTATTTTAAGATGACGCGATGAGTTTGCTTTGCGCGGAAACACTTTGGATTAAGCAATAAAAGGAGATCGTCTGGATAAACCGGTCTCTGTGCTGATCTTTTGCAAATTCCGAGTGAAATGTCATGCGAACTCGACAATTTGTCGACGCAGCTCGATCAGGTAGTGGGACCGACCCAGATGTTGCTGCCTGTTTATTCCGAACCTCGATTATAAATCTCATACTCCAAGAATTATTTATTATTACGTAATCACTGTTAGTAAATGAGGCCCGTCGTACTCTACTTCCTGCTCAGAATTACTCGACAGCACGTGCGCTTTCATGGGAAAGAACGATAACACGAGCGTTTCATCGGCGAAACTCAGGCCGGCCACCTTGGTCAACAGAAAATTTTAACCAGAGGTGGATTTTTGTGTGGATTTCAAAAATTTGTTTACTCGTTTTTTTAACAACATCAGGGTTTTGAGATTTTGATTTTTTTTTTTTAGCTTGAGTTACGGAAATACTCGACAGCTGCAGCAACACGCCACAGGGTGGCGCCAAAGCAATTCATTCATCGTAGGCATCGCTTTGGCCTGAGCACAAAAACAAAAATACTGGTGAGATTTTCAGGGAATAACAGGAGATACCCGCCCCCCCACCCCTCTAAAAAATATGTGAATCTTCTAGTAGTGAATCATGAATAAACGTGGCACGCACACAACACTTCTGATGCCTCTTATCAAACTCGAATCATCTGAAAACCATGTAGGATGACTTTGAAATTACAGTAGAGTGTTTGGGGATCACGGTCTGTTGTGATTTATGGTTATGAATGCAGGCAACGGTGAACATTTTTCATGTTTTTTGCTATAAACTGCACGGCTCGGTCTCTATTACCCGCGAACGTAGTAACAGACTCACAGTTGAGACGACCTCCTTGTCCAAAGGCACCTTGTTGTCAACCTTCTCGATGAGCGCACCGCTGTAGTCAGACCGGCGCTCTGTCGCCCCCTCGCTTTTCTTGTGGAAAAACAAGCTCCTCTTGGGCATGGGCAGAAACCAGGGCGGGATGAAGGCCACGGCGGCCGATGCCAGCGTGGCCCACACGAGGTGCACCAAGTGGACTTCGGCCACAGTGAGGAGGAGCTGGCCGGTCAGCGAGCCGGCGGCCGAGCCGAAAAGAGCGACGCTGCGGCAGTAAGCCGTCACCTTCCGGTAGTGCGCCGGCTCGACCACGCTGTAGATGTACGAGAAGTAGGCCACCTCAGAGGCCGTGGCAAGCCCGAAGAAAAACTCCAGAAGCTGCATGAGGCCGAGGCCCTGCGCTTTGGCCAGCATCACATAAGTGACCACAAAGCTCGTTGCCTGCAAAAGCAACACGGGCTTGTAACAGAGGTAGTCCGTGGCCAGGAAGACCGGGAACAGCAAAGCCAGATAGGAATACGTCCAAATTGGGTAGATTTCGCTGACAACCTGCACAAAGCAAAAGTTTGTTTTTAATAAATAAATAAGTACATACAGTTAGGGCTGAACAATTCATCGAATACAATTAGACATTGCAATGTAGTCGAATGTAATTTTCAAATTGAGCGGCAATGTTGGAAATAATAAACCTGCTTCATTTCGGTCGTCAATAGGCTGTATTTTCTAATCGCTTTTGATCTTGATTCTCACGTTTGGAGTCATTATTTCATGAAAAATCCTTGAAAAGCACAATCATTTTGCCTTGTCTGTAAATCCTTGAGTGTGGATCTGTTTGTCCTGGCACAGCAGAACAAAAGCTTTCTTTTTCAAGGTCAGTGGAAAAAAAATAGTTGGCACTAAACACGAATTCCAAAGGATTCAGCGTTTGTTTTCAATAGGGATTGCAGTAGAAACCCACTTTTTACTAACTTGTCCAGGGACAAAAATGCAACAACATTGTCATTTGTCTCCTGTGACATGGCTTTAGAATAGGTAATTTAAATCTTTTTTAACCTGCAGTGCATCCAGTTATGAAATAACTTCATTTTTAAATTGTTGTTATAGTACGGTCTTGATTCCAAAAAAAATAATTTTTCCTCAGTAGGTCTACACACACATCACCCAATGTTGGACAAAAGTGTGCATTCCAAAGATTAGAGAAAGTAAAATGAAACTCACCGTGAAGGCTGCAGTGCATTTTAGGTTAATGAACTTTCACCCGGAAACCCAATATTCCAAACTTTTTGAGAGTTGTGTGGCAATCAATTTATCTATGCGAGAGTCTAGAGTCTTCTCCCAAAGTCTAGACTCTAGACTTTGGGAGAATGGATGGGAACAAACCAGGACTTAAAATTGAAGGTTGGCTCTGCATTAAAAAGGAACTAATTATTTATACACAGCAGGTTTTTTTTTTTACCATAATCCTGACTGAAACAACCGGGAGTGGACTAGTACAGTTGAATGTAAAGAGCCTGAAAATGTTTAGTAGAAATCCAGAGACTTGAGAAGGCTGTGGGAAGTTTTTTTTTTTTAATCTACTGCAAAGGCTCTTATTATTCAACGCTACGAATGGGACATTGTCGTTGTTACAGGATGAGGGTGTGCATTTGTGTTCATTTTTGAATGGGTTGGGCCAAGGGGGCACGTAATATTTAACTCAGCATTCATATTTTGTCCTCCAACGAAGTCACCGATTGTTCATTAAAACAATTTGACAAATGTGTACAACAAATAAATCTGTTGGAGTGGTGTTGATTTGTGAGGTTGAAAAAAATAAATGCAACCATTTCGGAATGTGGCTATATGATTAAACAAAGAAAAACAAAATTGATGAGTTGTGAATACTTTCCTGGCGCACTGTATTTATTTCCACTTCCCGATGGCAGAAGCTAGAATAATTGCGCAGTATGCTGTCAATGTTACATCATGCGTCAGTTTAAGATGGTTACTTCCTACGTTTCTGATATCGAGTAAAACATTGGTCGATAATTATCTAATTAAACGACAAGCGATCGAGATGCTTTATTTTGACAGCGGTAAGTGGAGCGTCGCGTGGTATCCGCGTACCGATATTACTGTACGAAGCCAGTAACTCGCGTAGCTTCCTCACCTGCGCCTCGGTCAGGTTCTTGTCTGGTCCCATCAAGTAAGCGGTAAGGAAAGGTTCCGAAGGCCTCATGTTGGAAAATAAGCCATACGCGCAGAGGCACAAGGTTGGGTACAACACAGACATGTTGGACGCAAGTTATATGACCTCCACATCCACATCTACATCAACTTCAGCTTCACGCACACACCGGTGGTGACTCTTACTCGTTCATCACTTACCGATCAGGAAGTTAATTGGAACACTACCGCCGCATGGTGGTTAAAGTATGAAGATGCACGGAAAACAGATTACAGTACTGTATACTGTATTAAAAACAGATCAAGTTTGAAATCAACTTCTTTTGCTCAGATTTTAATACGGTTTTTTAATTGAGCTGGAAACATTAAATTATATGATGGTATATGACCTCTTGTTCTTGAAAACATCACATGAATACATGGTCTGTTTTTCAAAAATGTTGATTGATAAATTGTTCTGCAGCTCTGGAATGTCCATTTACACGTGCTGTACACATGAATTAAAATGTTCAAACTACGAGAGATCATGCCACATGGAAAATATACCGCAGGTGGCAAATGTCGTTGCAGGCTGCCCACATGCTGCATTCGAGAAAGGTGGGAACTCAAACTGTCGCATTGTCCGAGTTCCGCCCTCAAAGTGTTCGAGGCGAATGAACACATCAAAGATGGCTGATTCCGATACGTTGTTGTTCTGGTTCCTCACAACACATTTTGACCTCCAGCAAACCTTATTCATAACTTCCTGAATTCAATAAATAAAGGAACATCCTATCTTAAAAGCATTCAATTCATTGCACCAAACAACGTCATATCCTAACGTAATCCGTGCAAATCACGTTGTGTTACGTGCGTGAAGTAGTGTCAAAAAAACTAAACTTATGTAATAACAATTAATTAAAGATATATACAACGTTATCATCTTGTAAATTGTTTTGCCAGTCACCGTCTGTGTCTCCAAGGGATCGCCATCATCGAGTGGTCACATTGAAGTTGGTCTGTGAACTACGGGTCCTGATTTACGTCTTTGCAGCTCGGACCTCTCAGTTCAGAGGGGCACTTCAACAGCGCACTTTTCCTAGACGGAAGCCGGATGTACAGTATTCCATTCGGATTGTCCTTGTAGGACCTCAAAGGGTTCGAGGCGAATGTCAACAACAAGGATGGCTGGTTCCAACAAATTGTTTGTTGTTCTGGCTCATCACAACAAAACCTGGCGTTAGCAAACATTCATAATTTCCTTAGTACATATAAATACAGGAATATGTTGTCTTCAAAATTCCATCCACTTCGCCAAATAATGCGGGGGGGGGGCAGCATGTGTTCTTACAGTCAGTACATTTCGGCGTATGTTACGCGAAGTTCTTCTGAAATAATTAAATTAATGTAATGACAAATAAAGCTTAATATATGTTTAAAATCAACATTGTTTTGCCAATTCACCGTCCCGGTCTCCAGGTTGTCGCCATTGTTTAGTGACGTCACCGTGAGGTTGGTCGGTTGAACTCGGGATCCTTTTTTTTCCCCAACTCGGATCTCCCACTTCAGATGGGGCGTACTAGTGCACTTTTGTAGGTCGAAAGTTGGAAAAGTCCAACTTCCCACCTTCCTCGATTGCATCACAAAAGACTTAAAGGACAAGTGTGAAGTAAAGTTGGTCAACCATGTTTTTGAGTAGGATCAATGGCTGAACAATGAAAAGCATATTTCCGTTATTTTTTTAACGCAAACATTCCAGATCGCCCTTGACAACGAAAATGCTTTTCTTCGGCAATCTTCGGAAATGATGTCACTTGGTGAACTGCGACGGAAGTCCGCCATTGAACAGCATTGTTGTATTGCTTGTTGGTAAGATGCCACGGCGGTGTGGGGGCGATGTATTGTTCGCAATCGACAGAAAAGTTGTACCAGTGGGCGAAGGATAGCAGGGCACTTAAATGGACATCTTTTATTCGCACGAAGCGAATGAATTTCACGCCATCATCGACGAGTGTTCTCTGCTACTGTATCTCCACTTCAAAGATGACTGCTTTCTCAACCGGTCTGCTTATGATCAAGGATTTGCTCAAAAGTAAGTGTGATTTCTTGGGCCCATTGGGCACGCATCGTAAACAACACTTAGACACTGATTTTTGCGGACTCAAAAAAAAAAAAAATAAAAAAAAGTTTTACTTTTTATGATTGTTTGAAAAAATCCGCGATGCACCGAAGCCGCGATAAACGAACCACGAAATAGCGAGGGATCACTGTACTCAAGTACCGACTACGCAAACTGCTTGAACATGAAGTCTGATTATTGTTTTAAGCAATGTCATCAGAGAGACAAAAACATACAATAATGTGAACATGCCTGCATCTTCAAATCATAAAAATAATCCCAGCCCATATTTTACCGATCTTGTCATCTGCAGTTTCACGGCAAGTTTCATGGTATGAACTGAAATGGGCGTGATTGGCAGTGAAAAGAAGTGGGAGGAAGAACAAGAAGTCGGAGAAGCCTTTCGAGCGAAAGCAACTGGAAGCAACATTCCACATTGTGTCCAACTGAGGTAAGACAAATGTAACATTTTCACTTGAGGTATCTTGACTGAAAGTCTTCTTTTTTTTAAACGGGTCTGAAAATGGTGGTACTGAATGAGTTAAATATACCGGTAATTCGGAGAGGTATGGTTTTGCACAATGCTGACAAAAAAGCAGATTTTATACAAGTCGAATGTATAATAATGCAATTAAACATAAGGAGCCCATTGAAAAAATGCAAAGGTGAGGCTTGGGAATTTGATGAGATGGTTTTATTTCTTTGAAAGGAAAAGGGGCTCTTGTCATTCATCGTTGGTCTTTTGGAAATTTTCTGTGAACTTCCTGGTGAAATAAACCCTCCTGTTGACTTTATGCCGATTTCTTTTTTCAGCACTCTGGTTCAGGTTTTCAAACTAACAAATCCATGGCTTTAACTTGCACAACCGTGTAAACTCAAAAATCAACCCATGTCTTATCTTTTTTTTTTTTTTTTGGACAATCAGGCTCATACCTGCGGGTGCGGCTGTGGCTCCTTCCTCTTCTTACCAGTGCATGCCTTTCTTCCATCGTCCAAATGGCCACTCTTGTAAAACAAAGTATCTTTATTTCTGCTTCATTATTCAGTCATAGAAAAGAATGGCCAGATTATGGTTGTCAAAACAACAACAACAACAACATAATAAAAATGTTCAAAAAAAAAATCCGGCAAGATTCAGAAAAGCAGGAAGTACGATAAGGGCCAGCCAGAAAGAATAATAGGACATGTGATTGGGCCAAAAAAACTTGCCAGTCTGGTTTATAGTGCAGGTGTTTAATCAGTACTTCGACTGAAGCACACTTATTTATACATTTACTGAAACGCATTGGTACTTTAGCTACTTCGATAGATTGTCACCAGGTCCTAAAAACTTCACAGCACCGCTGTCATGAACATTTGGTAAATGTGTGATGAGATACAAGGCGGTTGTGTACCAACCAGCATGTGCCGTTTTCACAAACCTCCCTGTTTGACATTTGCAGTGTCAGGTGTGACAATGAAAGCCGCCGTGTGTGCCCTTCTCCTCTTGCTGGCTTTATCTCAAGGTATGGGGTATTGCAACGTATTACACTGGTCATGAGATGCGTTGCCATGAAGCAAATATCAAGTCATGCGACTGCTCAAAATGTTCATCCTAATTTTTGGACAGAAAACTCAGACGTATGTGCACTACAATTTGGCTGGCACATTCTGATGCTGTCACTATTCTTTTTTTTTTCCCCAGCCAAGGCACTGAAGTGTCACTCCTGTTTCTCAAAGGGCGGCGAGCTCTGTGAGTCGACGAGCATTCAGACTTGTTCCGGATCCGACGATGCCTGTGGCGCAGTTATCCTTCCAAGTAAGTTCAGTTTTGCAGACGCCCATGGAAATTTTTGCGCCGTCAGAAATTGGATGAGATGTGCCGTCACCCAACCAAAATACCAAAAGAAGAAAATGAATCCCTTCGTTGCTTGACTTTGGCTATTGTTTATGGTGACCCCTGCTGGCAGAAGCCAAAGCAGCAAAAGCGCTTGACACAAGTGTTCCCCTGCTGTTTGCTATTTTGAGCCTCGATGAGAAGAGCAAAAGTCTGCGAGTAAGAGACACTGCCCCAAACGTTTGTCATTGCCTGGAGATGTCAGAAAATGCCAGCAATACACTCACTTCGTTAAAGTTTTTTGCCACCAAGATGCCACAAGATGGTGTCAAAGCACTACTTTTATCTTCATAAAGCTCCTCATCTCACTTGAATTTAGTTGTTCGGCACCAGGAGGCCACAAGATGATTCAAAGGTAATACTTTTATTCCTGATCATAAAAACAGCGAACAGCTGAATTTTCAGCAAATAACATATGAGTTAAAAAAATCATCAGAGACTGACACGTCAAATGTGAGAGAATGAAACAGTGAATGGCGAAACACCAAAAGGTTCAACGACACCATGTAATGACAAAGGTCTGCTAGCTTAATGCTAACATATACGCTACTATGAAACGCCATAGATGGGCGAGCGGAGGGAGAGAAGGTCTCCAACTAAAATCGAACAACAGTCGTTTTTCCCAAAGAAGAGAAGAAATGTGTTGCTGCTATGTGTTTAAGTAGAAACAGTTTTAAAGTTCAACATCACCTGAACATCAGTATTAATTGACATTATATTTGTCTGTTACATTCTACGGTATATGTTAGCATCAAGCTAGTGGGCTTTTGTTATGTCAAGTGTGTTTTACTAAGGTTAAACATGCTTAGAGGAGGAATGTGTGTGTATGTGTGCGTGTGTGTGTGTGTGTGTGTGTGTGTGTGTGTGTGTGTGTGTGTGTTTCATAAAACTTCAAACCCTGTAATTAGGACTACATGCAATTAATTTATACAAATGTCTTCATCGTGTTTTTTTAATGTGAATCCACTGACAAGAAACATTAGCATTAATGCTTCTCGTCTCAAAGCAGTTCCTAATTCATTTTACTATATTGTCACGATTTTATTCTTGATAATTTCATCGTCATCTGAAACCATTTTTCTTGAATTCATTGCAGAGGCATCTTTCCGCCAGTGCATAAACATGACTGTGTGCGAAGGCTACGCCCAAACACCCGGCGCGTTGGCCCATTGCTGCAGCACAGACCTCTGCAACTGACCGTCTTTACCACGTACACGGCACCCTTTTGTCACGAGCA